AATAAACTTCTGGTATTTTGTGTCCATCCCAGTGTTGTCTGCCAGGGAAACCCAACCTGCAACAGCCAATTATTGGTTATTATCTCTCGGCTCCAAACCCATTCATCCACACCCTGCTATGTGATGCTGGGGTTGGGACTCTGCAGACCACATTTCTGCTTTGCCAGCTGTATAGACCTTGCCAGTAAGGAGGCTGGAGCTCTGACATCCAATACACTAGACACTAGCCACATGTGGCTTATGGAGTAGTTGAAGTGTAGCCAGGTGGAATTGAGGTATTCTGTAAGTTTAAAATATAGGATGGATTTTGAAGACTTACCACACAAAAAAAATCTAAACTATTTCATTTCTTTTCTGTACAGAATAGATGTTAAGATAATAATTTGGATGTATTGGTCTAAATAAAATATACTGTTAAAATTAATTTCACTTGTTTCTTTTTCCTTTTTAATGTGGCTACTAGAAGAGTTAAAATTACATATGTGTGCATGTGTGGCTTGCATTACGTTTCTATTGAACAGAACTGGGCGAGAAGGAGCCTGCAAGGCTAGAAGAAGAGGAAGGGACTTGAGCTTGCCTTTCTGCATCCTAGTCCCATGAGCATCCAAAGTACTACTTCTTCACCCAGCAGTGGCAGTTCCTTCCAGGAGCAGCAGTTGATTCCAGGTTTCAGTTTTTCCCGCACTTTTAGACCCAGCCTCTTTATACCCCCACAGAGAAACCACCACCCAGATGACTGGAGCCCCTCCTTGGAAGACTGGACCCTAATCCCAAAGGGCCCCTCTTCTGACTGTTACTCATACCCACTGAAAGCTACTCCCTCCTCACAGGCCTGGGTTGCAGCTCTTTGGGTCCCCTCCTCCATGCTTCTAAGTTTTAATAACTCTTACCCCTTCTCTTTGCCATCCATTTGTGTGTCTGTAAAGGACTACCTGAGGCTGGCTGATTTATAAAGAAAAGAGGTTTATTTGGCTCATGGTTCTGCAGGCTGTGCATGAAGCATGGCACTGGGACCTGCTCCTGGCGAGGGCTGCTCCCACTTGGTGGAAGGCGAAGGGCAGCCTGCACGCAGAGACCACTCAGCGAGCACGGAAGCAAGGGGGACGGAGGAGGTGCCAGGCTCTTTTTGACAGTCAGCTCTGGGGGGAACTAACGGAGCAAGGATTTACAGCCACTAGGACAATCAGCACCAAGCTGTTCATGAGGGATCGGCCTCAGTGACCCAAACACCTCCCATGCTGCCCCACCTCCAACACTGGGGACCGCCTTTCAACATGAAATTTGGAGGGATCAAATATCCAAACCAGAGCAGGGTGATAGCTGCTTCCCGTAATTGCCACTTCCATGACATCTTTAGTGTTCTCTTTTTGCCATTTCAGTTACCTAGTTGACAGCTTCATCCCTAGTTAACAGTCCTTACATTAAATTCTCCCTTTACGGTAGCTTGTGTGATTTCTATCTTATAATGGATCCTGACTGACACATCATTCCACGGCAAATTGGGGACCCAGTGTGCTGTCTGACGCTCTACCATTAGGGAATTCCTCAGTGCTGTCTTTCAGGACCACTCCTGAGTAGAGCTGGAGTGTGGCTGTGTCCATTCTCAGCTTGCATCAATGGCTGAGCTGACCAATTCATGAACCAAGCTTGAGATTGTGCCCTTTGTCCGTCTTCTGTTTATAAGGACATACATCCCCATGAGGACAGAGGGAGTTGAGGGAAAGGAGCCAATGCCACAGAATATCTTGATCTAATACCAATTATACCATTTTCATCTTAATAGTGGTTGCCGCTATACTTGCTCAGCCTATGACTAGGTGGATCTGACTAAGCCCAGCTCACAATGTACATCAACAACCACATAATCACTTGATGGTGCATGATAAGGTTTTCAGCCTCTTCTAGGGCTCAGTAGGGCCAGGAGCTCCTTTCCGAATGGGAAATAGATCTCTGCTAAACACGGCTTGGCATTACTTTAGAACTGCATCTCTGCAAGGAGAGTTTGCCAAAGACCCCACACAGCATCCTTACATATTCCCTCTAGCACGTGGGTTCTACTGGATGATATGGTCCAAGCTGCAGGCTGTTTATACCATAGCCTGAAATTACTGCAATTCCCTCTTTCTTGCTCTGGGCTGCACTAAAAACTGGCTGCTTCCAAGTCAGGCAAAAAATAGGCCAGAGAGTATTCCCAAGTGTGGTATATTCTGTCTCCAGAGATCAAAAGAGACCTGCCGGTGCTGTGCCTTTAGCTGTAGAAAGTATAAGGCGCGACAATTTGTTCTTTACCTTGAAGGAATGTTCCAACATACACTAGGCTACAGGATCCCTGAAACTTTCACTAATATGGCAAGACTCTAAATCTTTGTAGAAATTTTCCACCATCTGGTATACATGACAGAGGACTCGCCACTTACTACTTACCAGTTCCAATTAACATATTGAGAACTAGTATGATGTTCTGCAGCATATCCAGGTGATCAAAGTCCCTTTGGATTATACTGTGGTAGATAGACCTAGAGCAAGAGGCCTGGTGCTGGACCATGAATGTGTACTACTGTCCTTGCCAGGTGAACTTGAACTGATTTTGATTCTCCTTATTGATATGAATTTCAAAGAATTCAGTTCCATTAAAGATATAACATCTGGCATAGTGGGTTTGATTGAAACTTAAACTTGGTTAAGTTTACTAATCTATAAATACCTGCCGTGACCCTTCTAGTGTTTTTCAGGACCATACTGCTGAATTAGATGAGGACATGATGTGGACCAGCACCCTCACATCCTAAGACTTTTCTCCCTTTCTTCCCAGGATGTGGTATTGCTTCTGATTTCTTATTTTGATAAAGAAATGGTGTCTTCAGGGACTTCCTACTATACTGACTCTATCTCAAAGGGCTAAGGAACCCATCTAAGAATTCTGCAAGCAGCTAAATATATCTGTCCTGACAATGAACTCAGGGACTGAGGAAATGACCACAGGCTTAGGTCCACATATCCAATAGACCCACCGTCAGAGAGACATGTACAATGACTCCATTTATCAACTTCCGTGCACTGTAGAGTTCTTTTCTTGCTAGATTAAATGAAATAATTTACATAAAATGCTCAGCACAAAAGCTTCCTATCCGTGTTTTTCAGCATACAGTGAAAGCCCTGACAAACAATGTTATAATTTTTGCTTTTAACAATCATATATATTTTAAGAAATTTGAGATGAAAATAGTTTATTCTGTTTACCCAGATATTTCTTATTTCTGATGCTCTTCTTCAAATTCTAAAGTTCCAGATTTCCCTTCTGCCTGAAGAATTTACATTAGCATGTGTTTTAAAGTAGGTCTACTGGAGATGAATTCTTTTCATTTTCCTTCACTGAGAGTGTCTTTATTTTCCCTTCATTCTTGATGAGTATTTTCAATAGATATAGAATTCTAGGTTGACAGTTTTTTTCACTTAGCACTTTAAAAATCTTGTTTCACTGCCTTATGGTACTCCAACTGGCAAATCTATGGAGACAGAAAGTAGATTAGTGGTCCCTAGGAACTGGGGAAGGCAAAAATGGGGACTGACTGCTGATGGGGATGGGGATTATTTTGGGGGTGATGAAATATTTGTTCTAGAATCAGATAGTGGTGACGGTTGCACAACTTTGTGAATATATCAAAAACCACTAAATTGTACAGTTTTAAATGGTGAGTTTGATGGGATGGGAATTATATCTTTTTAAAAAGACCTTTGCAGACAAAATTTTAAAATTTTATACAAAAACATAGAATTATTCCTAAACAAGTGGAGAAATAGTCCTAATGTTCTTAGAAGGGAAAGTTCAGTGTCACAAAGATGAGCTTTCCCCCCAAAATCAATGCTCTTACATTCAAAATCCCAGCAGGACATATTAAGAAACTAACAGTGGTCCCATGAAATGCTTGATAGAAATTTTTGTCTTTTAGAATATCTTTGAATAGTTTAAATCATATTGGAAATATCTGAATTAATAAGTTTTTAAAAATTGATGTGAATCTACCTTGTCATGGTGCCTTATTTGTGGAAGATCTTTAACAGCCTTCTCAATTTATCAAGCTTTTACACATTTTCTTCAGTTCATTTTGACAATTTATATTTTGTTAGAAAATCATTTCCTCTTACCATTCAAATTTCTTACCATAATAGTTCCTTGTATTTTTTTAAGCTACCTGTGGTTATTTCACTTTTTTCATTCCACTTTTGTTCTCGTTCTTCATCATCCAGTTTCATGGAGTATTTATCTTTAAAATGGTCTTGTCAAAATGCTTTCTTTTAAAGTTATTTATCACTACCCATTTTTGTTTTCTAGTTCATTAACTTCAGTTTTTATCTTTATTTTACTACTTTCTAGATTTGTCTGATGGATCTTTTTCCTAGTTCCCTAAGGCAATGTGAGGCACTGGAGCCTGAGTGGAGGGAAAACAGGGCGTGCTAAGTCCGAGAAGGCACCGAGAGGTGCGTGGGGAGCCACTGCCGTCCCTCCCCCTCTGCTACATGGCTGGCAGTGAGAAGGGCTGTGGACGGCCTTCAGAGGACCAGCACTCCGGTATGGAACGCCACTCCAGCACCCTACCCTTCCACCCCGAGCTCTGGCACATCTCTGACAGGAGAGAAAGAGGTAGGTGGTACAAGTTCCCATGGAGCTTATTTCTAACAAAGACCCAACTCTGCAGCAAATGTCCAAATCCCTGTGTCATAATGCAATTGTGAATTCATAGCTCTCCCCTCACTCATATTATTCATGCCATGCCTTGGGAAGCAGAGAAATCAGAGCCAATAAACCATCTAGAGCCAAGCCATGGGGATTCAATTTTGCGTAAGAGATATGCTTGGGGTGGCCGGGTATCTCCCTGGACTTCTCAGGTTTGGGGGAAAGAGGGGACATTAAAGCAGTGAGTGCCTTTGTACAAAGCCACAGAGAGAGGCAACAGTCTTAACTCATGTATGCATTTCCCATTTAATTCTAATGACAGACCAACGGCCATTTAATTTTAATTGTAATCGAGGACATCGAAGAAACTATTGAATGGAAGTTGATGCAGAAGAAGAAGGAGAAAGATAAGGTGGGTAGAATTCTACGTAGTTAAGAGAGATTCAGAACGTTGGTGTGCATGTCATGAGGGTGTGGGATTTTGCCTCTTACGAATCCAGAGGCTAATGAGGAATCAACTCAATACCCGCTCATTTTTCCTCCATCCCCTTCTCCACCTGGGCTGTCTATATCCGGGTCTGACTGAGACCTAGAGGATGACAGGAAAGAATGAAAGCCAGCAAGAAGTGCACAGGGTGGAGAGATGAGAATGTGAGAACTCAATTAGGGAGTAGAATGTTCAGAATATGGGAAGGCTGGAAGCAGAATCTGTGGTCAGGATATGGAAACCCACCATTAGTATCAAAATACATGGTCGTAGCAGAGAGGAAGCAGCCAGTGGTAGTTTGGGACTGGAGTTAGCAGAGAGTAACCAGGCAAAAGGTTATGAGGCCAAACCTTCCAAACCCAATGAGCACTGAAGAGGTGGAGTGTGACTAACAAGCTCCCTTGGTCCCTAATGCACCCTTCTAGATACCAATGGTTTTTCTTCAATCTGTGCACTGGGGAAGTACCCAATAGAAGGATGACACTGTGGCTCAGAGCGAGTTGATGTGTTCAAAGTGGCAGAGGAGGGTCACCAACAGGTCTCCTGACAATGAGTTAGTGTCCTGCTAACTCCCCTGAGCTCTCTAAGGAAGGGCTGACTTTTAAGAGACAGAATCTGGGCTCCTTCCAGGAAAATCCTAGAAGTTAGTAGCAGGAAGTTCCTCTTGTCTCTGCCTAGAGAACGAAACTAAAAAGAAATAAAGCAGCCATAATTATCCAGGCCTGGTGGCGAGGCACCCTGGTGCGCAGGACGCTGCTGCACATGGCCCTCAGGGCCTGGATCATCCAGTGCTGGTGGAGGACCACTCTGTTGAGGATGCTGGAGAAGAACCGGCGGGCAGCGCTGATCAACTTCATAACCACAGAGAGGGCAGTGATCAAGCTCCAGTCTTTGGTCCGTATGTGGCGCATCCACTGGCGATACTGCCAGGTGCTCAATGCCCTCTACGTCATCCAGAGCCACTGGCAGTGCCACAACTGCCAGACCTGCGCTCTCCTCCGGGGCCACTGTGTGGCCACAGCCACTCACCTGCAGTTCCACATTGAGATAATGAACTGCTAAGGGCAGGCAAGAAGGGGCACCGTGTTTTTTGATCCCCAATAAAGGTCTAACCTGCTCCGGTGTGTCTCATGGTGTCCCTCAACTAATGGGAATCTTGAGACTTCGGTCTTGTTGCCTCCTCTTCTCCCCAGGAAGAATTGCAGTGAGGTTTCCCTCTGTGTCCATGGACCCTGTTTGGGACTGTCAGTGGCCATATGCTACTCACTCAGTCATCAAAACAGAAAGTGCAGCCCCGTCGGCCCTGCTATATGACAAAGCCAGAAGTCCCAGTTTCATCCCCAGCCCCATTCCTTTCTTTTCACCCAGGGATCTGGGAGGCAAGTGGACTGCATCCTCCGGAGGACTCAGGGCACCTCTGCATGTAAGGGCGGACCATGAGGCTCTGCTCTGTCAGCCTGGGGTCAGGGTCAGCTGGGGACTGGGCTGCCTCATTTCCTCTTGGGGAGGCGCCTACAGAGAACGCCCGCGTCGGGCTGATCCTCCTGGGAGCAGTGCAGCCCCTGGTGAAGGACAGGAGTCTGGCCTCGGTGGTGGGTAGGGCTGGGGCTGGCATGCCAACGGGTAGGTGGTGACCCTGGGGACTAGCAGAAAACAGAAGTTCACAACACCCCAACTCTTTCTCTGCAATTCTCTCACCAGAACGCCTCTCCCCACGGGCTGGCGGCAGACGGGGCTCCCTCGGATATTACCCCACCTTGACTCTTATCTCAATTCTTGGTGATTTTATCATTGGCCAAGGTGATCCTACCAATCTCCTTAATTCTTACCTCAAATAAACCTTTTCTGCTCCCCTCCCAAGACCATACTAAAGCAGCGCTGTTCCACAGAACCTTGTGTGACGATGGAAATGTTCTCCCTCTGTGCTGTCCGATATGGTCGCCTCCAGCCGTGTATTGCTGTGGAGCACCTGAAATGTCCCTAGTGCATCTGAGGAATTGGATTTTTAATTTCATTTAAATTTAAATCACCACTGGACAGTGAGGCTCTAGACCTCACCATCACCAATAATTGTACTATTGCTCAAATTGCTTTTGCTAGTGTTGCATCCTTTGGTTATGTTCCTTCCTTCCATTTCACCTCTTCAATAACCCCAGTAGAATATTTTTACAGATGTGATAAGATCTTCCAAAGTAATGGCCCTAATAATTATTTTTTACAGCCATCACCCCGAACATGCCCTTGACTCTTTATCCAGTTCAGATTCTGTGACTAATTATTATAATGTCTCCCCTGTACAACTTCACTCCCTTGCCCTCCTCTCTCTCTGCAAATATGTATGAGACAAAACCAACCATCTCCCTGTTCTGAGCCTGCAGAACACCAGAGCTGGAAGAAAACGAGCCACCACGAGGCATGGTCTCACTTTATATTCATAATTACATATCTCAACATGATATATTTCCCAATAAATTTTTCTAATATGTATACATTATCCATTTCTGAGTTAAATAATTCATACTGCCTCCTCTCCAAATGTTTGTTATTTAGGCTGACATTTATGTGTTAAAAACAGGACCTGAAAAGATCACTACCAGAAGGAATGGGTGATTCTTAGAACCGGTGAGGGCCTTTTGAGCTCTCCCGCCAGGCTGCCTTTCCTGCCCTGGCAAATCTTCTCTCAGGCTGAGCCTCCCTCCCCCCATTTGGTAGAGGTGTGTTTACATGATTAGGATCTGGTTTGGATAAGGCTGCCCTAATAAAGAACCATACGTTCCTCCTCGGATGATAAAATACTTCTTGTTTTTTCTGGTATAAGTTCCTTCCAGTAAAAGACATGTGTCTCTCCTGATTGAGAACTCTTGGTTTCTACAGAATTTACATTCTGTCTGGGAGGCATGTCTTTTCTGGTTTGCATGCGTAGTTTAATACTTCGATCTACAAGCCTAGGTTACAATTTTTGTGAACATTCTTATCCTGATTTCTTTTGATTTGGTTTGACTCATTTCCCTTGCTTGTTTCTAAAAATCTTCCAAAAGCAGAAATAAATTTTCTAGATGGTGGGTGCAGGATGGCTATTAAAAGTCACTAGGGTGGTTGCTACCATCTAAAACACAAATCTAAACTCCTGGCATTCCCAAACAGGACTTAAAGGCTTTTCTTTGCTCTCAAGAGATTAATAAGAAATGGAATGGGTATTCACAAACATTAAGGCATGCCAGATTTTCTGGGACTCCAGCTGGCTACGTATTATGGCTTGTTCTTGTGCACATTTTTAAATAGAAGGGCAAAATTAGGTCAAGGAAAAGTCAGAGCTCAAATTGTCATTATCTGAAAAACCTGCAACTGTAGAGTAAACATGTAGAGTCTTCTAAGTTCTCTATTTTTTCTTTCTGCCTACTTTGAATCTGCTGACTTTCCTACTGTTGATGAGATAAAACTCACTTTTTATGGCATCCCAGCCAAGATAAAAAGTCTTAAAAGGACTCTTCAAATTAATGGCTTTAAAAATTACAACAGTTCCATGGTAATCAAGAACCTAGACACCTTTTAGAAGTATAAATTTAGGTGTGCCTAACAATGGTGTACGGTGATGGAATACTTAATTTAAAAATTAATAATCTAAAGGAAAAATAACTAGATGTTTATAAAAGTTAGATTCTCTAATCAAACAGGCCAAAATCTTGAGTTCAGAGCAATAATATATGGTATCTCCATCCCATATAAAATTTTACTTTTTTTGTCATACAGAGGCCAAAAAGAAAAAGCCAGAAGAAAAAAAAAATGCTAAAAGTTTTTCCTACCTGCATTTGCTAATCAAGCTGGTAAACCAGACCAGCAAACAAAAGACAGATTTGTTACTAGTTCAAGGCTACTTAGAGATTTTGCTTTTCTTATAGGATTCAGCCAATCCTAGCTAAAAGATAAACATTGAATATTTAACCCTAAACTCATTTGAAATTTTAAAAAAAGGACAAAGACTGGGGAGGGGGGAGATGGTGAAAGAGGATTTTAAAAACCAAACTCTCATGGAAACAGCTTTACCCCAAATCTTGGTCCGTGGCTTTCATTAGATTACCTATTAGGGTAAATAAAGTCTACCCATGTAAACAGGTTCCAATTTTGTCAGAAATATAATTTGGATCAAACTGTCTTTTATAAACCAGTAAGCTTGTATTACTATCTCATGACTAAAATTCTAAATGAAAGCTATGAGATATTTGTTTGTGTGTGTACATATCTTTAGATGTGTTTACATGTGTATACATACCTTATGTTATATTAATACATTGTGTCTACATGGTAAAATCTGGCGTATGCATAAATACCTTTTAAAATTTTATTTAGATTGGCTTAGATAAATAGGGGCCCATATAAAATATATAGTAATTAACCCAAATGCCTTTTAGTTCATGTGATTAAGTAAATCTTAAATAAATAGTCAAATTTTTAAATTATTGGTAAAATAAAATAAAAATGTATTTTAAATTGTCAGCATACATTTTTGTCTGGGTTTACTAGTCAGACAGTTTTATATTTATTTCTACTAGGTGTTTTAAGGTATCAAGGGCTATAAAACTATGAACCCAGCCTAAAACAGAATGATCTTTCTTTGTACAATTTTTTTGATAACTAACATGAATTTAATATTGTTGGTTTAATGAAAACAGCTGCATCATCTGAGTTACTGGCATAATACCCATATATTTAACTTTAAGGTTCCTATTTAGTTGATTGAACACTTGCTATTCACAGGCTATAAAAATGGTTTACAAGAAAATAACTCAAAATGATGACTAGCTTTGTCTAATATCTCATTTCTCATAAGTAATCCAGGTAAACTATTAAAAATAAATAAATTAGGTAATTGTAAATTAGGTAAACACTTATAAATAAACTTTTATGTAATTTGAAATCTTAAAGTT